ATGACTTTTGATGGCACCACATGCCTTCAATCGGATTAAGCTCACAATGGAATTTCGGTAAGAAAATAACATTAATACAATATATATTTGCTAGTTTTTCTAATTTGGAAATCTGAAAGAATAGGAAAGAGAGCTGCATTTGTTGAGTGAAGTATAACGTTGAAGACCTACATTTTGAAAGGCTTTATGAGCTGACAATACAGCTTTCAGTTCATCTAATTTACAATTCGGCGATACTTTGACGCCAAGCTCGAGAGCAATAGCCAATAAACCTTTGCTTTTACCTTTATCAGGTCCTGATTGAAAATAGCAATCGAGTGTTCTGATGTTATTCATTTCATCTTTGTATTCAATTGAAGATACTGGACATCTAGTACCAGTACCTTTTCCGAAATCATTGATGTTATATTCTTTAGCAGTGTGCGTACGCGCATTATCTACTAAAACTTCAATTTTATGATTTCGGTACTCTTCTTTAAATTCTAATAACTTGAATAAACGTTCAAATTGTAATAATATTATGTTATTGTCAAAATAAGCATCAATGCCCAAGTGAGCAGTAATGGTAGCGGAGTACTTTTCATAGCGTAGATCAGTATCATATAACAAGTCTGGATATTTTTTAATGGCATTCATCCATTCTATCTCATTCAAATGAAAATAAGGTCCTGATGGATGTTGGACAAGAAAGTCCGATATCATAACACTTCTACCACGACCTTTATTGAAAAACGGAGCTGAAGTGTCAAGCAACCAACGCTTAGCACGAACATCTCCACTACGAAAAGTGGATTCGTCATGGCCTAGGAAGGAAACTTAGATTATAATACTATTCAAATTAGGCTAAGTTCAAGTCTTACAGATGAGAATGGTTTTTGCAAAGGATTTCGGTACTTGAAAATGAGGATCTTCATCTGGACTAATGCTGTAATAGTTATCTTTATTGGTTAAAAAATGATGAATGAATCCATGACGGTGTGTGACCACGTCTTGGCGATCGTGACCTTCAAAATAAGGACGATTCGTGTTGGTTTCAAAGCGTGCCCCCCAGTTTCGTAAGTCCAGCCTGCAGCTCTCCACAGATCGTACCAGATCAGAATTACTCTTATTAATATCATTAATTTCATAAAAACGTTTATCTATAAAATGTGCTAAATCATATGCTGTAAAACTGGCAGCTTTCTGGGTACATTGAATTACTGCAAACGCTCTTCCTTCAACTTCGATTTCTGGATAAACATCATAAAAACAATTTTCTTGTTTACCACCTCTTCCATCATTAATAAATTCATCAAAATTCCCATTCATGAAAACATTCGCCCATTTATGTGCAACTTCACCTGTTAAACCTCCAACAGACTTAAGAAACATATGTGTTTCTTCATAAGAAATGTTGAACCGGCGTAAAGTTAAATAGAAAAGAACACTTAAATATCTTATGTTACAGTCCTTTTTGCAAAATTCAAATAAATCAGCGATATCGCTTATCTGAATCATGTCTTTTAAATTAAAATTTGCTGCTGTTTCATCTTCATCAGTACTTTCCATGGAATAACTGCTATCATCGCTCGATAGACGAAATCCATTTAACCAACGTCCTTTAACTGCATTCAGTGATTGAGATTGTCGTTTCGACTTGTAAGGCATTTATCAAAAGAATCCAACCTTAGTTTAACAATTAGAAAAATTAAAATGAAAAGCTTTTAAATCACAAGCCACCAAATTCATAGCGATATTGGGAGTTTTTCGAAAAATCCCATTGGATAGATAGTGCTGTATATCTGATCTTCAAATGTTATAAACGGAGGTCACTAGAAGACATTCTCGATTAATCGATTCGGTCTACGAATAACTAATAGAGCCGTTCTACAACGGTACTCCATTATATTTTGACATAAGATGATGGTGTGAAACTCCATGATACTTAATTTTATTCACAAAGTGATTTGAAAATTTTTCATAAAGAGTGAGAATGTTCTAAAAGTGTTTATATTAAGATCAGCATTGTTTTTTTATTAAGAATATTTCATTTTAAAAGTGATATGTCGAGATTATCTGGCATTAGGAAAAAATAATGATTTTTCTGAAAAATCGTGTTCAGAAAAAATAACTTTTCTCAGCCGTAGTAAAACATTTCTTCAAACGGATACGCAACTTTTTTCTCCATCATTCGACGATTAAAATGACATAAAATTATGGGGGTCAAGTACAGATAAAAAATGAGTTGAAGCTTTTTTGACACAAGCCAACCGACTTTTTGAGGGTTATGCTATCTTACTTTCAACAATCGTCCGAGAATATCATATGGGACCACTTTAAAATTCATATCACTAGATGCAGTTTTTCACGCTGCATTGAATGAGTATGTTTTCAAATTTTTCACGTCCGAAAATGATGAAAAAATACCTATATTTCTTCAAAATTTCGGATTTTTTTTGAATAGAAAAATAACATTTTTTCCTAAATTTTTTTGATATTTTTTTGAAAATTTTTATTCAACAAAGAATTTAAAAAAATTTTGAAATAGACAGTTTTGTAGAGCTCAACGAGCTCTATCAAACCACGTAAAAAAAATTAGAAAAAAAATTTTACTCGATTTTTGCATTACTGGCACCTTATCTTAATGATTTCGATCTAATCGGTTGTTTTATCGATATGCATCGTTTTGATTTACGTGAACAAACTAATTGACTATTGAAAGTGCTCTTAATACTATTGGATCGGATATATGTTTACATTTATTAACAGAAGAATATCAGCATCTAGGTTTTATTGGCATTCAACAGAAATCGTCACGCTAAATGGTTAGACTGAATAAAAAAAAGTATTCATTTAATCAGTGATTAGAACAATCTTATCTGGCTATAAGGTGATCCAATATGTAGACTAGTTCGTATTATATCGAGAAATACAAAATGTTTTCATCGACAATCACGAATGAATCAACAATATCATAATTAACTATTTGGAAAACATGAAAAAGGTATCACTTGTGTGTAATCGCACAGTTTATTAATGATTGTACGCTTTATTACTTATCTTGAGTGCCGATTTACAGCTCTTCAGATCATACAATAATTTAACAGTAATGAAACAATGCTAGTAGCTAAATTTGATAGTTTTTATATCAT